CATGAAGCTGCAGCACAGATATCGTCTAAGGGCACTCCTCTCAGGGCAGCCCATGACGTAGAGACACTCCTGGTGGAGTGGCATGTCACGCCTGATGGCAAAAAACGGTTACTTGCCCCATATGCATGGCGAATGACATCCACAATCCAGTGGGACAGTCGCTGTTTGGAGAGAGCACAGCCTTTCTTAGGAACACTAAAACAGAGGAAGAGCTGTTCTGACTGCCGAATGCATGCCGAGGCCGTGATATAAGCTCTCAGGGCCCGCACAGGGCACAACAGTTCCGACTTGTCCCCCTCCTCTCCTGGTGGGGGGTTAAACTGTGCAAGCCGTAGGGGCTGGTTGAGGTGCGAGTGGGACAACACCTTAGGGAGGAACGCTGTATTCGGCCATAGAGTGACGCCTGAATCATCTGAATTCCACCTCAGACACGAGTCGCTGACAGAAAGGGCGTGCAGCTCACTGACGCGTTTTGCTGAGGTAATAGCCAGGAGGAATGCACTCTTGTATGACACCCACTTCAGCTCTGCTTGTGCCAACGGCTCAAAGGGAGGCCTGCCTAGAGCCTCCAGCACCAGAGGCAGGTCCCATGATGGAGCTCTTGGAGCTCTCGGGGGATGCAACCTCTGAGCTCCCCTGAGGAAGAGGGACACCAGACTGTGGCTCCCTACTGTGCCATTATTGACTCTAGCATGTCTAGATGAAATCGCTGCCACGTACACTTTCAGGGTAGAAGGAGACCGACCATTGTCCAGAAGAAACTGCAGGAACTCCAGAATAGTAGGCACAGAACAATGTACTGGATGTGCACTCTGGCCCTCACACCATTCAGAAAATAACTTCCACCTGTTGTCATACTGCAGCCGAGTATACGACGCTCTGGCGTTCAAGATGGTATGCCTCACAGGGTCCACACAGCTGCTCAGCAGCGGTTCAGGCCCTCCAACAGCCAAACGTACAGTTGGAGGCGTCGAGGATTGGGATGCCAAATCCAACCTCCTCGTTGAGACAGTAGGTCTTCCCTGTCGGGGAGTCGCCATGGCACGCCGCAACAGAGTCTGTGCAGGAGAGGAAACCATGTCCTCGCTGGCCAGAAGGGGGCCACCAGCAGAATCCTGTGACCCCCGTGAAGAACTCTCTGAAGCGTTGAAGGAATCAGAGGTAGTGGTGGAAAGGCGTATAGGAGACCCTCCGGCCAGGGGTGAGCCAGTGCATCCTGGCCTAGAGGGCTGGTCGTCTCCGCCAAGGAAAACCAAAGGGGACACTGATGCAAAGAGGTCCACCTCTGCTCTGCCAAAGAGGCTCCAGATGGTGCGCAGAACCTCTGGGTGGAGGCGCCACTCTCCTGGCGGAGGCTTGTGACGGAAGAGGAAGTCTGCCAGGTGGTTTTGCTCCCCCGGCAGATACATTGCCCGCAGGCTGACGAGGCGGGGGGCTGCTCACGTAAGAAGGTCCGTGGTCACCTGCAGCAGCCGTGCAGACTTGGTCCCGCCCTGGTGGTTGATGTGGTATACGGTCGAGGTGTTGTCTGACCGAATGAGCACATGTTTCCCTCTCAGGTATGGCAGGAAGTGCTTGAGAGCTAGATGTACNTTTTTTATATATATACATGTATAAAAGAGAGGTACTGCAAAACAGTGGCATATATTTACAAGAACGGACATTTGAGTAGCCTACCTACACTCTCTTCATGTTGTGTGCCAGGAAGAGGAGTTTGTCAACATTTTTGGGCAAAAGTGAACTCCTGGTTTTGTCAACGATGTTGCCTGCCTTGGAGAAAATGTGCTCCAATGGATTGGAAGTGGTCGGAACACACAGACAACCTTTGGCTTCCAATGCCAGTTTCGGTTAGCGGTCACAGTTCTGTTTTGCATCCAGGTGGGTGACTGGACTCTAGTAGAGCCCACCAAATACTGCTCCATCTCTCACTTGGCACTTTGATCTTGTTCCTCAGGGTGTTCATCGTCGGAGTTTTTTTGTTTTTTGTTTTTGGTGGTGGCAGCAGCAGTGTCCTTGCCATGCCTTTCTGTTGGCTCCTTTTCACCTCCCGAACAGCGTGCTGCTGATCTGGTGAATTCGGACCAAAAAATTAATATCCGGATGTCAGCACGACTGAATATTTGGATATTCGGGTGCAGCCCTAGTAACATGACATATCTCCTGTTAGTCAGGCACCGCTCAAGCAAGCTTGTTACTGCAGCCACGCTTGTTTACATGCTTCACGATGACGTCCTCATTTGCGCGCCAGTAAATGCAGGTTGTCATTATAGGCAAAAAATCTGCTAACGATACTGATCGATATGACATTTTTATGCCAATATTGGTACATATAGACTGAACAAAAATATAAACGCCTCATGTCAAATATTGTTGCCATGTGGAGTTAACAACTGTAAATGAGCATTTGCCGGCATTTTATTGTACAAAAGTAATATTTCTCTTGATTTGTGTAGAATTTTTAATCCTACTTGCTGTCAGTGAGCATTACTCAGTGAGTTGTTTTTTTACTCAGTGCATGGGTGGGGCATGTCTAGTGGGTGATCAGACAAAATGGCCAAAAAAAAAAAGGCCACCCCAAAATGTCAAATTTTGTCACAAGTCATAATGCCTCAGATGTCGCAAGTTATGCAGGAGCGTGCCATTGGCATGTTGGATGCAGGGATGTCCACCAGAGCAGTAGCTGCACGGCTCAATGTCCATTATCGGACCATAGGCCATTTAAGAGTTCGTTTCCAACAGACTNACTTGCATGAGCCAACTCCACCTGCTGCGGTATTTCCAGCCCCAGGCTATCCAGGGCCATGCAAATAGTGGCCCGCATGGAATCGTCCTCTGTCTCAGCCAGTGAACCCTGAGCTGAGGAATGGGAGCTTGGCTCCGAGGCCTGGGAGGCCCCGTCATCTGTATCCTCAGCGTATTCACCAAAGTGGGTGGCTGAGGCCGCCAGAGAAAGAGCATCGTCCTCTGGAACCAGCACCGGCATAACAGGGTCCTCCAAGGGCGCATCAGCCTCCACTGAGGGAGCATCGGCACCCTCCAAGGAAGCATCAGAGCGGTGGGCCATAAACATGGATCTTTTCTGGGCCAACTCCGCAGAAAGCTGATCCACTTTTGAAGAAAGTCTGCTGTGATCCGACTTCACCTTCTTCCTGGAGGGGGTAGCAGCAGCAGCCCCTGCCCGACGCTTAGAGCGTCTAAGTCGGGGTGGGGGCAATTGGCCCGAAGGGGGGAGGGTCCCCCCCACCCCCTGGCGATTCAAAGTCTGCCAGTCTAGCAGCTCTCACCGCCCGCGGCATGTAGCTGCAATTCATACACGGGTTATCAGAGAGTGCCTCTCTCAGGTGCTCGGGACCGAGGCACGTGGGGCAGAGATCATGGCCATTGCCAGGCTGGAGAGGAGCCTCACAGGATGCACAATGGTGGGGGTTATCCATCATAGTGACACTGGAAGAGAATCGCCACCCTGGCAAATTACACCACTTAAGGTTAGCCCAGGGCGGACACTAAGGACCGGATGCTGGGGGAAGGGAGCGAAAGCACTGCTTGCCCAGCAGAGGTCAGTAACAAAGGCAACACCACTCAGTTAGCCAGAGCACAACGCTGCCGCTAACTGCAGTCACTTAATGCTGGAGGGAGGGAGCAAGCACGCTGCCTGTACCAGTAAAAGTTAAGCAAAACAAAATACTATGGCAATAGACCAGAGTGCAAACATCACACCATATGCTGAAGGGAGGGAGCGAGCACGCTGCCAGTACCAGCAAGCTTCATCAAAAGAAAAACAATTTATCAGTCAAAACAAGTCTCACATGAACTGAAAGAGACTTACTCTACTCCTCTTTTTTTTCTTTTTTGTTTTTAAGTTTCCAATTTTTATTTGTGTTCAATGGGTTATCCAGCTGAAGAGCGGTAACGTAAAACAGGACCGTGTGCCGCAGGGAGGTCGTGCGCACGCTGCCTTTGCGAGCACAGATCGATAACGTGAAACAAACAGAAAGCAATTAAATCGGCTTAAATGCCGGGAGGACGGGGCGTAAACGCAGCCGTCACCGACAAAATGTGCACCGACAATAGAAACTATCAACAGTAATACAGCCACTTACCGTCCGTCCGAAGAGGGAAGCGACAACGCTGTCTTACCACGCCAGACGCCACGGCATGCGGGTGAGTATAAACAAATGTAACACCTCACAGAAGAGGGAAAAAACATCCGTCGCAGCTTCTTGGGGGAGGGGGGCGAAAAGTCCGTTGCCCCGACCAACACGGTCGCGGAGCTACAAAGCGACGGGACGTAGTTGAGTTTTAAAAATGCGGCTTTGGATAACGCTATCAGAGCGGTAGCAATCTGCGCGCGAGAAGATGAAAAGGAACAGATACTCTGATGACACCGGAAGATATATTCTCCCCCGGGGTCATCCAGGTGTCACAGGTGACATTGTTGGTATTCATACTCAAACTGCGCATGCGCGAAGGGGAATATTCAGTGCTTAAAGCACCGCCTCTGGCGGTCAGCAGGGATGAAATAGAACCTGCACTCAAGTGACCCCAGGTACCCTCACTGAGGATGTGCCCTTGTGCATCGTGAGATGTATCCCACCATCATTATAAAACCCTATTTTGTACTGGCAAAATATTATATCATCTTACTTTAAAACCTTTTGTTTCAATTTCCTCAGACCAGTAAAATAATTTAAATACTATTTAAAGATTACTGAAGAAAACATGATGCAAAAAAGAAATGAAATAAAATGAAATGAAAACTTACATCTAATGGTTAGGAGGTGAAATATGGTGGGGAGGGGCTTCTTATCTCAGGGGCGCATTTTACCCCAGTTTAGCCTATTTATATACTGTTTATCAGTATTAGCATTGGCAATTAGTAACATTTAGTTGAAAAATATCAGCATCTTGGATGTTCTGCAAAATTCCAATATTCATCCTTACAACACAACTGTAATTAAGAGAAATATAAAAACGTTGCTAGATGCAAACTGCTTGCTGACCTGTGTGGGGCCTTGTCCAGTGAACAAGGCTTTGTAGGCTGAGGCTGCTACTGACAGAGCTCCTTTAACCAGGCCACTGGTGATGCCTGGGTGCCTGAGGAGAGACATTTGCAAAATCAACATTTTAGAAATAAACAATTTGTTTTTCTTTTATACATTATTATAAACTATCATCAATGTGAATATCAATTTGATGATTGTAAGCCACCTTGACAGTGATAACCAAACCCCTTATCATTCCGGGTCATTTTAATGCAAACACCTGTAAAATGACATCTCCAAATTAAAATGAATGCTGGTATTGACCCTTATGGACAATATATAATGTCTGGCCTTTTCTGTAAAGATAACACTCTCTTGTTTTAGCCACAGAAATCAGAATCACTCCAGGTGCTACCAGTAAAAAGTTATTCCATTTCAAAACACACAGATTTTTTACTTTTTTACATTTTTTAAAAAATCCTTGCCTAAGTTTTTCTTCTTGAAAATAAAGGTGCATAAAGCAGCATTAGGTGGTGGGAACTAAAACACACTCCGTGCCAATAAAAACAAACAAAAAAACAAACAAACAAACAAACAAAAACTTGTGTTGTACTTATATTTCAAATTTGAAAACAATATCTGTAAAACTGGTAATTTGACACCAATTTTTGTACTGGCATGTCGAAGTGTTTTATAGAGGGACTTTTGTTTTATCCACATCTATCCAAATTGGAGACAACTGAAAACGTATGGAAAAAGTGCAATATCTTTGGAATTCTTGAATCTACAGACATCAATGAGGGCTCTACTGAAAGTCTATACCCAAATCCATATCTGGACACAGAGTCACTCTAGTAGTTATAGAAATTCATATTTCATCATGAAAACAAAACAATATATATATATATTTTTATAAAAAGATATGAGTATATATATAGGCTTTTTACTACTTAGTACACATTTTTATTAAATGAAATGTACAGTTTGAGTAAAAATGTAACAAAGGAGTAAACCAACCAGTACAGAAGAGAAAGATGGTTGAGAAGCTATTGTGACTGACGAGAGATACTGTTTTCCAGCTGTGCAGCCTTATCAGCCAGTTATTTTATTTTGTTGTTTTAGCATCCCCTGCTGTTAGTTGTGTGTAACATTTAAGTTAAAGAATCAGTGTCTGTTGTTGATGACATCATCAATAGGTGTCAGGGCAGTTCTTCATGTGCATCCCTTAAGAAGTACATCAGCCTTTTTTTCAGTGGACATCATCCTTACTACAAGTCTTTGAAAGCTTTGTTGGTATGTTAAAATAATCTTTTAAGTCATCATTGTTATTGTTTGTGTATATTTTTGGTAAATGAGAAATATTTTCACAGTTTGTTTATATATGGTAAATTCATGTCAGACACATGTTCTGGCCTGCTGAAAAGATATGTATACATTGTCGCAATAATAATGATGCTTACCTACTTTTGCATTTCAGTTTTACCCTACTGCCAGTTGCTACATTAAACAAATTCAACTTGGAGCCGTTTGTCAAGTGTGTTGATTTGAGATGGAGTTTATCTGCCTGTCAAATCATGCAAGGCGTGTGAGGAGGACAGGAAACCAGGGGCCTCATGTACAAAGGGTACGTACGCACAAAAACTTGGTGTACGCACTTATCCACGCTCACGTTCAGATGTATTAAGAGTGAAATGAACGTGGAAATGTGCAGTCCTCCACGCCAACTTCTTAACTGGCATACGCACGTTTCTATTGCTTTTGAGCAATTCGAGGTGATGCTGGGAATGTAAAAATGTAAAAAACTATGTAAAAAAAAAATTCTTCAAAGTGATATGCACATCAGAGATACACAGATGAACAATTAACACACCCAGGTGTTTGCAATCAGATGAGTGGATGGAAGTATGCTTAAAACGGTGCAGAAGATCCCGTTAACAACAATGGCAGCTTTGGCACTGTTGGAGGATATTGCCAATGGAGCAGTGCCAAGAGAACGGGTTTCCAGAGACCTCAGGACGACGACGGGCTCATCAGCCGCTTTATGTTCCCGAGGGCAATCCTCTTAGAACTGTGCACAAAGTTGCGGCCATTATTAGAGCGCAACACGTCCAGGAGCCATGTCCTACCTGTGCCCATACAGGTGCTGACCACACTGGGCTTCCGAGCCACAGGGTCATTTCAGAGGGAGCTGGCCGACCGATCGGGACTGTGCCAGTCGACACTGAGCCAAGCCATGCCAGCTGTGTGGGATGGAACTATCCGAAAGTCAGCCAGATATATCAGATTCCCATACACTGCAGTTGAACAGGATGACATAAAAGTGCAATTTGCAGTGAAGGCAGGTTTTCCTAATATAACCAGAGCTATCGACTGCACACACATTGCTATAAGGCCAACATCACAAGATTAATTTGTTTATGTAAACAGACAGCATTTTCAATGTAGAGATCATCTGTGATGCACAAATACAATTAAGTAATATTGTTGCGAGGTGGCCTGGATCAACCCAGGATTCATTCATTCTGATCAGCAGCATAGCTGGGAACAGGCTACAAGCTGGCATGGTGTGGGATGGGCTTCTTGGTGAGTAAATCATTTAATTGTCCTAATATTAATCCCACCGACACACGCTAAGCATGTGTGCCCTGGATGGGCATCAACAGCTGGCTGTTGCGACGGACCAGAGGATCGGCTGATGCCGGGGAGGCTGGAGGAATCCCACGGGTCTGTGATACGAGGCAGGGACTACGTCTCACAGTCTTCTCCTGCCTCACTGTCTGTTGGAAAATAATAAATTCTGTAATTTGACATGAGACAAAGTCTTTGACTTCCTCTTTGATATCCTGGCATTATTACGGATTAACCTGGATCTTGTTTGGCTGTGAGCAGATATGACCGGTGTAATGAATAATTTGTGAGTTACACAATAAATATTTACCCTGGGGGTGATCCGAGGGACCCATGTGTGGTCCCACCACCCCTGTGACAGCAGTGTCACCCACAATAGCGGCGACTCTCCACTCCAACGGGGTGAGTTCATCCTGGTTACTGTTATCTGATCATGCAGAGAGGGGGATACCACCTGTCGGCCCTGTTTATACTAATTTGCATATTTAAATTGGGGGCTTGGAATTTTTTTATGATGGATATTTAAAATTGTATATGCAAACTTATAGATCCATATATCCAACACTTTCCTAGATAGCTTTGAGCCAAGCGTTCATAGTGACGTCACTTTTTGATCCTTCGATGTTGGCTCTTCCAATCATTGTGAAGCAGAATTCACCAAGCGTTGGATTGTTCACCCACTAATAGGGAACGTGAGCTGGGATTAGACCATCGTGAGTAAGGTTAGTTTTACCCTACTGATGATGTGTTGTTGCAATAGTAATCCTGCCCAGTATCAGAGGAACCTCAGGCTCTCCACAAACTAAATATTCATATTGATTGTTCTGTTCTATTGCTTGCTCTTCATCTGCTATCCTTTTCCCCACCCCTTATCCACACTCTCACCCAACCGGTCGAAGCAGATGGCCGTCTTCCCTGAGCCTGGATCAGCCGGAGGTTTTTTCCCCCTCTCCCCTGGGGGGGGGGTGGCTGGTTCCTTCCCACCGTTGTCAACTGCTTGCTCAGTGGAAGTCTAAAGGCTACTTAGGATTGTTGGGTTCTCTGTTAAATTTGTAAGGTCTATACCTTACTTTGTTAAGTGCTGTGTGATAACATGTTGTAAACAGAGCTATTCAAATAAAATTGAATTGAATTTTAAAAAAAATACAATTTTACAAAGTTTTGCGAATTCATTCAAGAGGAAAATTTGAAAAATCATATTGACATAAGCATTCAGTGCCTTTGGGCGCCCCTATAGCTCACCTGGTTGAGCGGGCGACCCATGAGCAGGGGCTGTCGTTCCCCGACGCAGCGATCGTGAGTTCACGACAGTTTGCTGCAGGTCTCTCCCCACTCTTCTCCCCCCTTTCCTGTCTCACTCTCTCACTGTCCTAACTAATAAAGGCAAAAACACCAGAAAAAATAATCTTAAAAGTATTCAGTGCCTTTGGCCTCAAGTCATTTTGGCTGTGACTCTCTTTGGACTTTGTGCCACTGTTCTCTGTAGATCCTCTCAAGCTCTGGCACTTGTCTTGTTCAGAATTTGAAGCTGTACTGACAACTTACTGCCACACCGACATTATGCAAGATGGGGAAACCTAGCTGTTCTCAGGAAAACCATGACTAGAATGACAAAAGAGAATTACAACAGCCAACTGGTTGGATAAACATCACCACATGGACTTGCTGAAGCAAATGGTGCCATAATCACTCCTCTACAGTATGGAAGTGTGTCTCATCACTCCTGTGGACAATTTTCTGTACGAGAACAATAGTGGCTTTCTTTAGGCATGTGGGGAACACGGACTGACTCAGAGAGAGGTTGAGCAGTGTTGTGAAAACTGGAGCTAGCAGGACTTTAGCACTCTACCTGGAATGCCAGCTTCTACTTGTCCCTGTACCTCCGCTTAGCATCTTTTACTGCTCGTCTCAGCCTGTATAACACCTCCTTGTATCCCTCTACAGCTGGTGATAAGGCTAGAGTAGGAAGCAGCGGTGCAAGAGTTCAGAGCAGTGCGGATAGATTTTTGACCCATGGCTTCTGGTTTGGAAAAATTCCATGGGAATGACATCATTCACCAGTTTGGCTGTGAAGCCCATAACCGCTTCCCAGCCACAATGAGGTCACGTCCAGGTGTTTGTTTTGGTGCTGACATAGCACATCTTGTAACCCCGATGTCAGTGTCACCTTGTGATGGAATGTGAGCCACTGTAAAAATGACTGAGGTGAATTCCCGGGGTAGATGGAATGGATGGCAGAAGATGGTTAAATGGTCTAAATTTGGCAAGCAAGAATGGCAGAGAGTCTTGGGGCCTCATGTACAAAGACTTGCGTGGATTTCATACTGAAACCTGACATACGCTTCAATCCAGACAACTGCGTACGCACAAAAAAATCCAGAAGAACGAAAGTGAGCGTACGCCGGAATCCTAGCACATTAGCACATCTCACTCAGCGTGGAACTGACCGCATATGTTGTAGTACCAGACTCCTCCCTCTCCACG